CATGAGGAGGAGCAGCAGCGCCAAAGGCAAGAAGAACAGGAGCAGCAGCGTCAAGGCAAGAACAGGAGCAGCAGCGTCAAAGGCAGCAGGAGCAGCAGCGTCAAAGACAACAGGAGCAGCAGCAGCGTTTGCATCAGCAGCAGCAGCAGCGAGGACAGCTGGAGCAAGAGATGCTGAACCAGTGCAGAGGCGCCAGGAAATCGACCAGGAAGTCAGTCATCTGGAGGCCGAGTCTGCGCTGCTCGAGAGAGGCCCGCCGTGTCCGGGAGAGGATCCAGCAGCTCACCGAGGAGCGTGATCACATCACGCGGCGTCTGAGCGGCGGAGCGGGCCCCTCTTCGGCCAGACAGGCGGAGGTCCAGCCGTCGCGAGTTCAGGTAAGAAACGTGTTCAGGGCAGGGGGCAGAATCTGATCGCAGCGCCTTCTTCTTACTTGGTGACAATTACATGAATATAGAAACTCAACGTGCAATACATCAGTGGGTCTTGATATGGTGTTGATCTCATCTAGCGTTTATTGATGCTAGTGCAACATGCCGGTCTCTTCTTACTAACGCGCTTTTTCTGTTGTGCTTGGCAGGACCGTCCCAGCTCTGCCGGCCAGCGGCACCAGCCGTACCCCCAGCAGCGGCCCGGTCCGGCGGCCAGCGCTGGCCATCCGTCGCTGGTCGCCCCGGCGGCGTTCAGACCGGTACCGAGCGGCCAGGCCAACCCCGCTCCGGCCGTCAACGGCTCGGGCGCTGCTGCACGCGCGCTGAATGCCGAGATGATCAACTTGCTGCTGCAGCAGCACGAGATGCGCACCACCCTGCTGAGCCAGCGTTTGGGCATGCTGCCCTTCCCATTGCCTCTGTCTCCGTCTCCGCCCATGGATGAGTTGGACCTTCGCGTGCCGCCGCCGGGCTCTCTTCACCCCTCTCTGCTGCAGGCGCACCGCAGGTCGGCTCCGCTGCCCGGCGAGCAGCCGCCCCGTGTCCCAGCTGTTCCGCCGCTGCATCAGGAACTGCTGCGGGCTCCGGAGGCGCGGCTGCCGCAGCTCCAGATGCCCCGCCAGTCGCCCGTCCAGCGGCCCAGCAGTCACGGCGCTCCGCAGCAGCTCGACGCGAGCCTGGTGGAGAGCGAGCTGCTGCGCCGTCTGCGCCAGGTCTGCGGCGGCTGCGGCCGGGCGCCGACCGACTGTTATTGTGATAGCTCGCCCGTGGATCTGACCAGAGCACCTGTCAACAAACGTAGTCACTGATCTGGTGATAGGATACAAATGTCTTCAGGACACCACCGATAAGTAAGTTTATTTACATCGACAGCCAAGGGAAGAGACAACCTTGGTCAGGGAATCAAGTTGTCAACCTTTGCGCAAAAGGATACAAGTGTCTAAAAGACACATCTGATAGGTCATTTACGTTCGACGACAAGGAGAATGAACATCATTTGTCAACTTACGTTGACAAATTGACAGATTTCACCATTTTCACCCTTTCATCATTTCACCATGTCATCATTCATGCATTGTCTTGCATTTGATGTATTGTAATTGTATTTGTTTGTGTTGTGTTTTGTTTTATGCATTTCCAGTGTAATTTATTGCATTTTTATGTCTCTTGTATTGCTATGTTGTGTTTTGTCAGATCTGTGCATTGTGTTGTACAATACGTTGTATTGTATTATTGTGCGATACAATGAACAGATAGGATTGTATTGTATTGTAAATAGTATTGTATTACATTGAACTCTGGTCGGCCAGACCGTAAAGTTGCTAATCGAGCAATAGAATAGCAATAATTTTGTGAGTAAGTTATGTAGTTTTGTCCAGACGTTGATAGGGTGAGGGAAGGGGATTACTAGCCGTGGAGGCTAGAGTCACGTAGAGGCTGCTAGTGTAGTTTGTTGTTGTCATGCCACGTCATACCACCTGTCATCCCGGCGGCGCGCTGCCGGGTTGAAAGGCGACTGCTTATCGCTTTTCATGTTAGACTTAGTGTTGATAGATTTAGTTAACCATTTGCTTGTCATCAATGTTTTTGTTTCACTCGTAGATGTTTGCTAGTGTTGTGTAGTGAAAGTGAGCTCAGGTGATGGCTTATGTACATTGCACCTGACCGATGCTTAGCCATGACGAAGTGATTGTATTGTTCCCCGACGTCCCCTCCCCCCCCCAAAAAAAAAAACTTCAAAAACGCTCAGAAAATGACATTTCGGCTTTCACCGATCAATAAAAACTACAAAATGTCTTCTGTATGTTTTATTTACTTACAAAGAGCAGCCATAAGGTTGAAACAGACTCTTTCCGCAGGCAGAAAATTGCATGCGAGAGCCTATTCAAATACATTAACTCACGCTCGCATCAATCGAACGCACCTCCCGCATGCGATTGATGCGGGAAGCATAATAATGTACTAGAATAGACTTTCGCATGCGATTTCCTGACTGCGGAAATAATCTATTTCAGCCTAGTGTGATAACTGCCTCAACAATCGGCCGACCAGAGAACCACTCAGGGCTGGTGACAGTACTTTCTGAGCTTTCTGAAGCTGAGGCCAGTTTTACCAACAGGAAAATAGCCGCCTGTCGGAATTGTCTGCCTGAAGGCAGTTTCACATACGGTAAAGCCCTATCCGCTTACGTGCCCATCGCGTTTACGCTCCGTATGTAAAACGACCTTTAGGCAAAAGCCAAAACAAGCTGGCAGGCGGCTATTTTCCAGTTCATGGGTGTCGTTTTGTATAGGCTTGGTAGGGCCCGAGCCCTAGCAATGATTTCAGAATTTTAACATTAACCCTATGGCGGTGCATGGTAAGAATGGTTTTGGTATCCCGAAATTAACCATTAGAGCCCTACCAATAAATTTCGGTAAAGTGACGCCCGTGTTCCAGTTGGTAAAACTGGCCTCAGGTCTCCAGCACATATCGCAGGTATGTTATTAACCACCACCGTACAGCAGGCTATCCAGCCTGTCAGGTCAGCCGATTAAAGTGACAAGATTTGTAAACCAGGGCAGACGGCACTATTTCCGTTTTCTGGGTGCCCCGAATTTGTATGTGAGCCATATTCAGGATACGTTGAATTGAAAATAAATATACGGCTTTCCCTATGCTTACCCTTTCGTTTCTCTTTTGGTGAGATAACCTGTGTATTATGCGGTCTAGAAATGTATTACTAATTTTTAGCGTCACACCGTCCTTGGAATATACTTTTTAATTGTCCGTACATAGATTCCAATGATTATTTGCGCAATAACTCGTGCAACATAATAATGATACAAAGAAAAGCAAACCTGTTCGTAGCATAATACAACGCCCTGGATATTATGAATTCGTAGTTAAAAGAAAACATGGATTGAGGTCCTGAATGAGGACTAAAATAGTACAAACGGGTTTCCCTTTGTTTTTCTTTTTCTTTCTACTTAAAGGCAACAGTGCTAATCTAGGGCGCGATGGAGGCTCTCACCCTCGGATTCTCACGACCCATATTTGAAGTTGTTACATCTTCCTAAGCAAAAAGTGGTACGGGCATCACAGGGCCACTTGAAATCATATGAGTGAATTCCATTTAACTATCGTTTACTAAGGATGTAGGCTACTCGCTTAGTTATTCTATTTTCATATCTATTTTCAGTCTGTAAAGCATCTGGTTAGGTACCGAGTGCGTAGCGGATCTCAATACACTTTTTCAGCTACCGAGTACGGATGGCCCGCTGAGCTATCAAGAGGGCCTTCTAATATATATCGTAGAGTCCCCTAAACTACTGAGACAATCTGAGCCTCTGAAGGACCTTTGAGCGTGTGGCGGATCCTAACCTACCGACTTTTAGCACCCAAAAGCGGACCTTATGAGTACGCGGCAAAGCCGTCTGAACAGTCGGTAGGTAATTAGTTAGATACCATCTCAATCTGAGCTAATTAGGGGGTCCTTAGCACATCACAAAACTTCTGATCTACAAAACTTCTGATCTGCCGAGGAGCCCACTCGCCCAATGAGCGCTTGACCTTTTGATTTCGCCTCTGAAGACTGAATACTTCGTGCCTCCTGTTCAGTATCAGAAGGGGCCGTTCCAAATATCCCACCTGATCGTAACATTTTCGTTGAGCCGCCACTGCGCTCGCGCCGTTCGCCGATGGTACGGTGACGGTAGCGGTGACGCCTTGTCCGGGAGGTATGCGCCTTATCTGGCGTCTGGTGCTCCCCTCCCCAGCCCCCCATCGGCACCCATTATCCGTCCGCCGCGGCCGGACCCCCGCTGTGCGGGAGGGTTGTTTGCGCGACCAGTCCCAGCCCGACTAACGGACCCTCCCCCCTCCCGCTAATCGTCTGGGCGCCGGACTGGGCACAGGCAGGCAGACCCTTCTTGGAAAGCCTGCCTTGCCCGTCCGGAAGGGCGAAAACAGGTTCTGAGACCATTGAATTACGGTACTTACCAGACGTCACATTTGGCGGCAGCGCGGCGGATGGGACCGCAGTGACATTTGACCGTGCCGTATGTAATCCAGGCGAGACCAGATGTGAGGATAAGCCGGGTCGATCCCCTGTCACGCACTCATACCTAAATTTAACCTCCAAATGTCGTCAAATTCATCACAGCCACCACATAGAGCGAAATGAAACAGTGCATTCGTCGAGATTCATCTAAGCCTATCGTGCACCACGGCATCAACGCCCCCCCCCCCTCCCTGTGCAGCGGCCCTGTCTCATCCTCAACGCTTCAGACGCCGCCAGACCGAGCAGCTTGAAACGCAACCCCTGCCTTATTAGGACATCGTCTGAGGTCGGCGTTGCAGGCTTGTGGGATGGGAACATGCATCTCGTGATACTGTTGAATTGGTGCCTATAAGTGATATTTACTTTGTATTGCTTAATTAAATCGACACATTTTAAACGTTGATTTCGTTAGAAGTGATATAAGCGGTTACATCTGGCACGAATTACCAAATCATATTACACCAGGGACTTAATTATATGATATTGCCTAATTAGTTGATATGAATAACTTTATCCAAGCAACCAAGAGGCTGGGCGAGACAAAGAACATGATGAGATGAAATAATCGCGTTTCTTATAGAAGCTGGTTGTTACTAAGGAACAAAACATCCGTAACTCAACAACAATGCTCTAATGCTATTTACTATCCATCGCCCCTTCCGTTGGGATAAAAACCATACTGGCGCTCAAGAGTCTCCACCCAGTCTGTGTCGATAAGGGCGGTTTTTGCGCCGATCAGCGTGGTGCGGTGGCCCGTATCGCCGGCCGGCCGACTGGACATGGCGTGGGCGCTGCCGTGAGAGGGAGGGAGAGACCTTGGCACGCGGGATTAGCCCGTGCACCGTGCACGGCGCTCCCAGTGCACGCCCGCCGCCGGTGCCGAGAGCAGCCCCACACACCTACCGAGTGCCATAGAGGACAGCCTCGCCGACACAATGGGTAAGTTACTGATAGGGTTGGGAAACTGAGGGTCCGATCTACAAAGATAAGAAACATTTGGTTTGAAAGCTTGCCATGGCGGAGTAATACATAATGATCGGGGAAGCTATACTGGCTAGCAGGCTCAACAAAGCAAACAGGAACTGCATTGGCCTTAGCAGTCCTTTGAGCATCGATGTCATCGAACTCGCTTCTGGCCTCTCGTATCTCGCTTCAACTTTGTTAGATTTGCATGAAAATAGCAGGATTTCGTGCCGTTTTATTTCTAGTACACATCATGGCTACCTTGCGTCCATTGGCCCACGTCATACCGGTTCACGTGAATCAGGTAAAACCGGTTGTTGGATGCTGCATCCTGAACAAAGATCGGGCGGTGGCCGAGACGAAACAGGCGGGCCACGGGGCGCGCTAAGAGGGGGGTCGTACTGCACTTATGTATGTTGCATGCAGTGCAGTGTGGAAAGTTATTATTGTCAAAAGGGCGATTGCTATATCAAATATTAGCTAGTGTTCAGAGAGGGCGAATGTTCTATGGAATAGTAGCTACTGCCAGTGTCCAGAGGGCGACTGGTCTGTGGAGTGCAAGGCTATAGAACTCCGTGGAGTGGAACGCAATGCCTGGAGAAGGGAGAAGGTTACCCCTGCATGCGATATTTGATTAAGTATACCTCCTGATCGCTGCGTTTTTAATTCTGACTTATTCAGTGGAGGAGAAATCATGTGCCTGTGGTTGGGACTCTGCTAGTTATGAATGGTGTGTGAACTGTGAATAATTATGGAGATGAACTGTTCATGCCACCGGTGCTATGTTTTGTTATCTACATTATTCATAGGTACACCCAAGGTATATAAAAACACTAGGTAAAACCGAGAAATTCCTTCAACATGAAGGCAACGGGTTCAGGTCTTGACAACTAGTGCTAGCATGATTTGCAAGATACTTGCTACGTAACTACTTTACAGATTTTCCTAATACTTTGCTATTACTTATGTTTTACGATTTAATAAGGACATATTTTTAGTTATCCTCATCTAAATTCGTTCTTGCCAAGAAATTTGTAATTTCACGGTATTATATCATGCCTTCTGGAAGCCTCGGATATCTCAGTATCTAGGCTGTAAAACTTCTTTATTCGGATATTTTTAGAAAGGAAATTAATTTTTGCATCATCTTGATATGCACTTTTTGGAAAACAACAGCTTAACATTAAATCATCGCTCTTCGAAGTGTCATTTTGTGCTCGATAGGAAGTAATGGCCCTTAAACAGAGCGTCCCTATAAAAAATCTAGAGGGAGCTGGCCTCTATAAAAATTAAAATTAGCACCAGTATTTAATTGTCTGTTAGCTGTTAGCTTCCATTAACCTTAAGGTTTTACGGAAAAAGGCTAAATTCGGCCCTAAAGGTTTCAATGTCTGTGTGAAAAATGGCACTATGGTAAAGAGGTAGTTAAAAAATGAGAGGGAGCTGGCCTCTACAAATTATTGATTTAGATAGATTGGCGTATCGAGTTTCGAATGATATACCTCATTAAACATATGGTCTTACGGAAAATGGCTAAATTTGTCAAGAACTATATCGTTTTTGTTATAAACCGTATATTAACAATGGCGACGTGCGCCACTTCCGTCGCCGACGCCATGTTGCCCGAGATATGTTAGCTAGGTTTGTATTTGTATTTGTATTTGTATTACAATTGCAGGGCAATCCACAATGCATCGTGGCTATTACAGCCCCAAGTCATAAGCTCATGGATAAAAGCATGCAGGTCAGAATCGTCACATTCATAAGCCGACAAACACCACACATCACACATCACACAGCTAAACGCGCTCACGCACCCGGCGCCATCAGCTGAGCCCGCACAGCTCGAGCGAAACACCGGTGGGACATCTCTGCGACACCGGCGGGCAGCGAGTTATATAGGGACGGCGCGCGGTACGCAAACCGGCGCCTCCCGGCCTCTGTCCTCGGCCGGGGTAGGCGGAAGAGGCCGTCCTGCCTGGTCGTTCTCTGGCGCACATCGCGGCAGCGAGTAAACGCGTCAGCCAGTGACGCGGGCTCGCCCCACCGCAGCACCTTGTACGCGAGAGTCAGCGTCTGCGCCTCCATCATCTGCCGTGGCATCATCCAGCGCAGCTGCTCCCGCAGATCGGACACATGATCGAATTTACGTTTGCCGAAAATCACTCTCACCGCAAAGTTAAGTATCTTGAGGAGCCTGTCTAAGTTTTTTTGCGTGCCGTTTCCGTATACCGAGAGACAGTATCCGATCCGCGAGAGCACCAGCGCCGTCACCAACACCTTGATGACGCCATCGGGAAGGTAGTGTCGACAGTGGGATAGGCCGATCAATACACCCATGCACTGACGGCTCAGCTCGGACACATGCGATTCCCAGGACAGAGCACTGTCGAAGACGACACCCAGGTTTCTCACCTCCGCTTGTGGTTTCAAGACTACGTTGCAAAAATTTACCTCAATGTCCGGAAGTGATCGGAGATTCTGACGACTGCCAAAGACGGCGAGCTGGGTTTTGTTAGCGTTGACCTTGAGAGCATGAGAGATAAACCAGCGACTGAGTGATTCTAAGGAGCGTTCCATGCGCGAGGTGAGTCCCCTGAGGTCGTCCTTCGGGCCGCTCACCAACACCTGGGTGTCGTCGGCGTACTGGTACACGAGTGCTCCCTCAGCGTGTAATGACAAGTCATTAGAGAAGACGGTAAACAGGAGCGGACCCAGTACAGAACCTTGGAAGACACCCATGTTGTTGGCGAGCGGCCGAGACAGCACCCTGCATCCGGACCCATCGTTCAGAGACACACTCTGAGTGTGTCCCTGAAGATAGGCGGCGAACCAGGAGATTTCAATGCCGTACTGACTGAGTTTTTGGAGAAGAATTTCATGATCGATAACGTCAAAACATTTACTCAAATCGATAAGGCATAGCATTGAAATCTCCCCCCTATCGGTGGCGGATAGGATCTGGTCGGATACGGACAGGAGTGCGGTTTCCGTGGAATGGTGCGGCCGAAAGCCATGCTGGCTGGATGAGAGGAGATGGTTGGCAGAGAGGTACCGGTAGAGCTGCCGGTGGACGGTGCGCTCGACAATTTTGGTGATAACTGGGACAAGGGAAATTGGGCGAAAGTTGGAAGGGTCAGACTGGTCACCGGATTTGTAAATGGGGCTGACTAGGGAGTGTTTCCAGGGGGCAGGGATGTCGGAACGGGTGAGGCAGGAATTGACGATGTGTAGGATGGGATCACCGATAGCTGGGAAGCCGATCTTCAGCATGCGGATACAGATACCATCGGCGCCGCTGGCCGCCGAGCTCCGCATGCTGAAGATCGTGTGTCCGAGCATCTCCCGAGTCACGGGAGAGAGGGTGAACGAACAGGCCCCAACACGGGGCAGACGCGCGTCAGTGACAGGTCCCGCCCCCTCCGTCCGCGCCCCAATCTCCGCGGCCACCCGCGGGCCAACCGAAACAAAGAACTCGTTCAGCTCGTCCGCGGTGGCGTCAGGCCGAACACAACCCCCTTCCCTCTTACCCGCCACCACAGACTTGATACAGCGCCACACTCTGGCCGGACCGCGCTCGCCGATCTCCCGCTGTATATCACGGCGCCTGTCACTCCGCACCGCGGAGCGGACGGCTCGGTTCAGCTCCCTATACTCGGCGGAGTCACGGCCGGAGCGCGCCAGCGCTGCCCGGCGGCGGGCCATGAGGTCACGCGTGGCCGGCGAGACCGGGGGCGCGGTGGGGTTTCGGATTGTCAGTCTTTTCAATGGTGCGTGTGCGTCAACAATCGGTAAAAAGCGAGTCGTAAAGGCGTCCCACTGCTCACCCACCGTCGGCGCCGCGAACACAGCCCCCCAATCTACAGAGCACAGATCACGGTTAAAAGCGGCTACATCCAGATGCTTAAAACTCCGAGATGTGATAACGATGGGTTTCACGCGCGGCTTTGGGACATCGATGAGGACACTGATAAAACTATGCGGGCTAAAATGTTTTGCTATAGCTCAGAAGTTACAGCATTACCTTTCACGGGCTGCTAACATATGGAACACATTGTTTGGTTTTTGGTCGTCTTGACTCCGTTTGGTCTAATGGACCAGTTTGTGTTTCATTTGAAATCATATGCCTTACATTTCTTACCTTACCTTACCTTACCAGTACCAAAGTTTTCCATAAATATATTATTTTATGCATTTCATCTGGATCGCGTGTCTGGCCCTCTAAGAAAATGCCACCTATTAATAAAATTTGCAATTCGCAAGACCTGGTGCCGCGGCGGTGCTGGCGAGCATGCTGCTGGCTGCTGCCATGCCGCAAGACCAAGTGGCCGCTCCGCCGCGCTGGCTGTGGCGGGAGCCGGTGGCGGCGTGCAACACGACTGCTGTGTGGCCTCTTAGTCTGCGTGTCTCGCCGCTGCGCTGGCTATGGCGGGAGCCGGCGGTGGCGACGGGTCGCAAGACTCTAGTGTGGCCTTGCTGTTGTGCCGGTCTGGGGCACAGCACAGCGGCGTCTGCCAGAGTGACGCTGCTGGTCGTCCTCCGCGCGCTAGATAGGTGATTCGCTGCTGCTCAAGGAGAATATGTTATCGGCTCCTCATGAAGAAGTTCCAGTTCCAGCTGCCTGGCCTCTCCACCCTCCGCCGCTGGACTCGAGGCTTCCGGACGTCACCTAGGATCCTGGACATAGTTCTGCAGATCATGCGCTCGTCCGCAGACACCATAACGCCGCATGAGAGGCTGCTCGTCATGTCCTTCGACGAGATCACCATCGATCCCCGCGTGGCGTACGATTCCACGGACGACGCGGTCTACGGCCCCAACGACAAGATGCAGGTGGTGATGGTCCGATCCTTGTGCAGTCGTTGGAAGCAGCCCGTCTTTCTCGACTACAACAAGGGCCTTCTCCACCGCATCATAGCCGGGAGCCGGCGGCGACGTACAACAAGACTGTAGCGTCAAGCGTGGCCGCACTCTGT